CCTCTTCGCATTCCCAATAGGATTCCGCGTACTCTGTCGTGTAACACACACGGATCCTGCTTATACGCTTATTACTTATACACGAATAAAATAAGACTCAGAACGTATAGACGTTCGGGCAAGTGGAGAAGCTTTTAAACTAATTCTCTTGAACCTCTTCGTCCTCCATTACAGTACAAGTACTCTCGGCAAGAACCTGCCCATTGAAGTCCTCCAGCAGTATCCAAGAGAATCTTAGAAATTTATGTCTCGGAAATATTGTCGGTGGCAATTAATTTTACGAGTATCAATCTTGGCATGAATATTCCAACTAGGCTTAATCCTTCGGCACCGTTTAATACAGTCTTGATACTAGAGGCAGGATTATCGCATTTCAAAATTACGGTATCGCTTCCTCTACGTAGGTATATACGCGCACGGGAAGCTTCGGGAGTATTCATGTAAATACTAAGAGGAAATCATCAGACTTGTATCTCTGTATATCTGACCGTTCGAAATTACCCGATCCGATTGCCGCTATCGTACGACCGCAGAATTATCCCATAGGCGTCGATTCCAGATACTAGATTAATGTACCTAATAACGCGAGCTTAAACATTAGAGCCGAGTGGCCGTATATCGTTTTCATCGACGATAATCGCCAATAACGAAATTCATAATTATATGTAGAGATAAATTACAGAGTGTATATATATATATATATATAATATTGAGTACGACACCTAATAAAGCAGTCGTTCAAAAATCCAACGGCAAACATAACCTATAACCATTTCAAGCTCAAGATGGCAGTGGCTGTGGAGTAGGTTTAAAGAAGACCCTTACGCGTTAAGTTAACGTAAAGGAGGAAGGTAGAAAATTAAGAGAACCAGAAGGAACGAGAGAATTTTTCAGAGCATTCCTGTTCACGGTACTACCAGTTGACGGGCAATGCTGGCGATGGCCTTCCACGTGGATCCAGACTTACGACAGGGACCGGGATTCTTTCGGGTAATGGTGTAATTATTTCCAGGATACTTCAACTCAGTTACTCGTAATGCCGCCATTACTCGGGCTATAAGACTGGCAACGGCAATAGACCTTCGTTTCGCTCGAAACCGAAGAATCTCATAGCAATAGCGTGGAGGCTCCTTGCCGATCTTTGCCTTCTTGGTACGTATATCGGGGAATCCCCGGATAAACGACCCTAGGGACAATATCGAATGCATGCGACGCGATGATAAAGCTGTGAGCGTAAACCAAATGGGGAAAAAAAAAGAAACTAGAATCGACTTTGTTAAAGTGCAGCGACAATTCCTTCGGGAGTGATATAGGATTTCTTGTCACTTTACGAGCATGCATGGGCGTGGGAATAATTATTTTTAATATTATTTAAAACGCTCCACCTCGTGCTGTATACTGCTGTTAAAGCTCGATAAAATTGTATGGGACGTAATACATTAATCCACTATAGGGTTCTATTGTACAGCTGAGGTACCCTATTTAATTAGGAGGGACTTTACTAGTTATCGTTTCGCTATCATTGGATTTACGTGCGTTTACGTCGACACTGCGCAATCCCTCTACCATTCGGTTTCCATGATCGTCTAGTAGCTGAATTAAATGATTTACCAATCCCCTGGATCTTGAATAGTTTACCGTAAACTGTGATGATATTAGTGTATACGGTAAGAATTTTTTTTGGAATTCAAGTAAAATTGGGAATTTTTTTTTTTTTAGAAAAAAAAAATCTTTACACTCTTGAGAATGCGGTTTATGGTGCTTATGATGATAACAATGATTACGTTTATTCCAATTCGACCCCCCACCCGCCCCGCCCCCCTGTTCTACCGTATAAATCTTACGATCCCGTTTTGATATGTCCGCAAAATCATGAAAAATGATTTACCCTATCGCGACCCCTGGGGAAACTTGAAATTGAGCAGAGTACACTCCGAGCTACCCTACGCTAAGGGTGTAAATATAAATCAGGATGGTAAATTCAAAAGAGAGTCCCTCGAAACACCTGTACAGTGGGAATTGAGAGTGTGCTAAGCTGGCGCTGTGTCGTATATCATAAAGCAGCCCACCCTCGTCTTTTCAACCGCAGTTTCGCGCCCATACGGCAACGCCGCGGCCCCCCATCAAGACCCCCACCACGGTAAAAGCGATCGAGCACATTCGTCTTAACGGGGGTGCATATCCATTTCCATTAGGAGACGGCAATTCTCCCTCATTTCAACCAATCAAAATATATTTCAACGACGTCCCTCTATGCGTTCCTGATATCGTTAAGGGAATGAAAAAGAAAAACAGTAGACGTTCAAGTGCCCCAGGAGTACCAAGCAGAGCCAAGAAGCTTCTGAAAAGTTCAGAAATTCCTCGAATTATATCCCCTTCGAATTTTTTCCCTAATAAATATCAGTTTCACCTAGGGCGATGTAAGGCTTGTCTTTATCTAGTGATTTTCTAGGGATATTCTTAATAGACGCTTTAAAGGGTTAACCTCGCACTTCTACACGATTACCAGCTTAAGACGTTCGCTCTTGTACGATTCTGGATAAATCCGACTATACCAAAGGGGTGTCAGACTGTGCCTCATTTTACTTGAATCTCATCAAAAGGAAACTCGTGCGTAGCTAAGCCCGCTCTTTGATCTCTGGATTCAAATCTGTTAAACGATCCCATTGCTTTTGCCTACCCAGCTCATCCTACCCTTTCCGCTTCTGTAAACTGGCTAACAGTATTTTATTTATTCCTCGGATCCACTCAGGGTTTAAATTATAAATTAAGGGGAGCTGACCCAAAAAATATATACCCTGTAAAGAAATATATTTATTTTCTTTCCTCAATTTTTAATTCGTTCGTTCATCATGCGTACGAGCCACCATTGCGTATAGAACCGTGTTAAACTATTAATTCAGGTATTATTAGCATTAGCAATTACGTATGATATTGCTTAATCTCGCGGTAGCATATTACATCCCTAATGGCAAAGGTTAACGTTTGACGTAGCTACCGTGAATACTGCAGTGACATTCGTGGCAATTGGTGAGACTTAATTAATGGCGGTACACTCGTTCGTAAAATTAATATGGATATCAGTATGTTGGGACGATCGTAGAAGTTATTAGGATCGACTGTACTCGGATGTAAGGGACTAACGGGATTGCTGGGCCAGTCGGTGATTATTTAACTTTGTTTTACGTCAAGCTATCGTACACAGCTTTCAATTCACATTCGACTCCTGTTATAATCTTCGGGAGACCTCCGGTTATTGCGTTTATCGCTAACCTTACCGTTTATCACAGAGAGAAACGGGACCTTGGTATATACGTTACGCAACAATGAAATCCTTTGAGAGACATTGCCAATGCCTCCCGTTGCTAAAGGCCTGTGAATAAATCCTTTCGTGTGATTTATGAACGTCCCGGAGATTGCTTAAACCCGATAGCAACTGTGACTGGGATATCTCTAATGTTATCGTGCCATTGGCAGATATCTACTTGATGTTATTAGAAATATCCTTTGGCGGTTATTATCTTTATCCTGTGAAATCTTAATCGCCTAATGAGAATTTATAAAGTCGTTCATTAATTGGGTGGACTTGAGGGGATGATATTTTAGGGGAGATTGGGTGCACTGTCGATATTTTTGAAAATTCCGAAAATTGTTTTTTTTTCATTTTTAATGAATTTTTTCGATCGGTGCATGACGTGAGCTTTTTTTTATTGTTTTTTTTTTGTGACGATTTAATACACGCTTCTGCGTGTGGGTTCTTTCATTATGGGATCTTGCTAGTTTGTCGGGGGAAAAAATTAGGTCGTTTTTGGGATTTAAAAAATATATTTCATAGGGTTTTGAAAGTTTACACTTATATTAAACATAGTTTAGGGTAGACGAAAAAAAATTTTTTTGATATTTAATTAGGAAAAATTGAGGGCACTGGCGGAGCACCGGGAATGAAAATTATTGCATTGCAAAAATCCCTAGGTATTCGTAGAATTGGCTGAGACCAAAAATTAAAACTTTTTTTTGAATCTTTGTGAATGTACGCACAAGGTAGACTTTAGAGAGCCTGTAATTATGCAATGTATTTTATTTAATTACAAAAAAACAGACTATTGCTCAAAAATACAAAATTTTGTTCGAAAGGTTATCATTTTCTTATTGTGAATGTTCATACAAATCGTGTGTTATGTTTCGTAGAAAAAGTTCCTGAAAATCACCTACTTTTTCGTTCGACAAAGTAGAAAGGTCCCATTCAGGGGTAAGAGTCAAAAATTAACTTTTTATTGTGTGTAATATCATTTTGAAATGTATCTTTTTTTTATTGCAGATATAAAGGTAAAATTCTAAAGATTTTTAAAAACTTCTCATGTACCTTTCTCTCATATGTCTGGCTTACTGTGTTTCGCATATACGACTCGAGCTCGTAAAATATTTATCTGAATAGGATTTAAAACGAGCGAATTAATATTCACAGTACGACAGTACTGGTGGACCCGCGACCCAGATTACACGAATAAAAATATGAAATGGGATAAAAAAAGTATTCCTTTTTCGCTTTTTTAAACTTTAATTTCACCCCAATTTCATCTATATAAAACATCAAAGCAACGATTGCCACCAAAAGCCCCAGTGTATCTTACACTTAAATACTTCATCGCGAATCTAACTATAGCATATAGATCTTATTTTCACAAAAAAAAAAAAGAAAAACGTCAAAATCTTATGCAAAGAACGATCACCCAAAGTGTGAAGTGTCGTAAAGAAAAATATCTATTTTCACGAAAAATAAAGTAGAAACCATTATACCATCTTGATCTCATTTCACTAAACAAAGCTAACTTAACCTAACCTAACTCAACGTAATCTAACTTACCGGACAGAAAGCTGACAGATAGTACAAATCCAGGCGAAGGGATCTTCAACGAAATCCCAAATTCCTTACCCTCGACCTGAGGAGCAATTACGAGTGGCAGGAAAAGTCGTTTCATCCGGATCCTTTGATGTTGAAGGCATCGCCACATCGACAGGAGGCGCTGCCGGCGGGGCCAGCGATCGTCTCAGCGGCGGTTCGGGTTCCGCTTTGGGCTGCGAGAAACTTCGTGAAAGAGGCGTGAGGGGTAGCGACGCCAGAAGCAGAGAACGTGAGGAGGATAGCAAGAGCGTGGGCAACGTCTCCAGGGGCGGCTTGCCTTCAAGGCAGAGTCTACTGGATCTGGTCAGCAGTAAGTTCATGAGCAGACACAGCCCGACTCATCATTACTATCATCATCAGCAGCAACAGCAGGTTTGTCCAATAACAATTAATTGACAATAATTTGAAACTTTTAATCAATCACAAATGATCTTCCGACAGATCATATTCCAAATTCAAGATAAACTGTACATACCTATCCTATCCGATAAACTGATACGCCAAATTTTCGTTCCAGGTATATTCGGTACCGCAACGCTACTTCAGCTCCTCCAGAGACTCGCTCCACGCGGCCTACGTGAATCGTGGTTCGAGCGAACTCGATTTAAGTCGAAAATCCAGAAGACGAGATCACCTGCGCGGGAAATTCAAACTCCCGAATGCCGTGGCGCTGGCTACGTCCAGGGAACCCTCGCACCTGCACGCACCTTCGTCCATCAATCATCTGAACAGTAATAGCAGCTGCAATGGCACTGAGACGTGAGTGGATCCTTGAGAGAAATAAAAGATGGCGGCAGTTCTTGCCATGAGAGACAAAAAAAGAGAGAAAAAAAAAAACACAGGTAAAAGCATCGGTAGTCTTTCCGTCTCTTATGGATCTTTTCCCACAGAAGATACACCGCCCAACAACAGCAACAACAACGTGGCAGTCGTGGATACCCTGGACAACCCGGATCACGTGGTTTTCGTACGGGCGCACCTAACTGGTCCTTCGTTTTTGATCCGGCCGGTCGTCTTTGCTATTATTGGTCCATGGTCGTCTCGCTTGCGTTTCTTTATAACTTCTGGGTGATCATCTACAGGTTCGCCTTTCAGGAGATCAACGGTCAGTCATTATCCTCGTATCCAGCTCGATAAAGATCCCATGACACGAATCCAATTCGATTTCCAGGATTACCCTACTTTTTTTTTTCTCTTCTCTTCTTCCATATGAAACACAGGTGAGACGCTGATTGTCTGGTTCTGTCTGGACTATCTATCCGATCTTCTCTACCTGGTTGACATTGTCTTCCACTTTCGGACCGGGTACCTGGAGGATGGTGTGCTCCAGACCGACGCCACCAAACTGAGACATCATTACATGAACAGCACCACGTTCTACATAGACTGCCTGTGCCTGCTGCCCCTCGACTTTTTATACTTATCTATAGGATTCAACAGTATACTCCGAAGTTTTAGACTGGTGAAAATTTACCGGTAATCACAATCCAAGTCTTTTAATGTTATTGTCCAATTTTATTTTTCTTTCATTTTTCTTTTTCTTTTTTTCTTTTTTTTTTCTATTTTCATAACCACCAAACTTTTTTATTTTACCTCTGCCAGCTCCTTTCATGAGAATTCTCATTATGCTCAAACTGTCGTTAGATTCTGGGCATTCATGGATAGGACCGAGCGACATACCAATTATCCCAACTTATTTCGCTCCACCTCGCTGATTCATTACTTGCTGGTGATCTTTCACTGGAACGGGTGCCTCTATCATATTATTTATAAGAACAATGGTTTTGGGAGCAAGAACTGGGTATTCAACGACTCCGAGACCGCTGACGTGGTCAAGCAGTATTTACAAAGTTACTATTGGTGCACGCTGGCTCTCACTACTATCGGAGATCTGCCTAGGTATGTCGTCACTCGATTTTCTCAATTATTCAAATACACTCTGGCATTTTTTTTTCTTACTAAATTTTTTACACCAATCATCACTGATCGTCCTATGGCATTTTCACTTGTTTCAGACCCAGAAGCAAGGGGGAATACCTGTTCGTAATAGCACAGTTACTCTTTGGCCTGTTACTCTTCGCTACGGTACTTGGACACGTCGCGAATATTGTGACGTCAGTCAGTGCTGCCAGAAAGGAGTTTCAGGGTGAGTAATGTTACCGTGACACTTTTCTTGAATTACATCTTTCACGCCTATATTTATACTGTATACGTTTGCGTATTGATCGGTGCGAGAGAATTCGTTGCGCTGAAGCGAGAAGAAAAATTGTCTGCGCAATGTTATTTTTTTATATTATTTATTAAAATTTTTTTCCGACTCTACCCATGGTCGATAAAGGGATCGAGTAATTTTTGAAAATGATTAGCGCCGAGTGGTCCCTTTCAATAAGGGATGCTGTCGATAACTCAAAGCGACGTTGACGAGTGTACCTAGTCCTTTGTTCCCGTATGAAAAACGTGGCACTGTAGGTAAAGAAGGATAGGAGTAAAAGTAAAAAGACCAGACAGCGAGGACCAGGGGTGGATATGACAAAGGAAAGGAAAAAGGGGGCGCGTTCGGACAAAAAATGACGTGATGGAGTACAGTCAAGCACCCTCATGAGGATGCAGTTTAATATGGAATTATAAAAAAATTCTTCACGGATTCTATCAACTATTTGAAACACGTTGCAAGGAATATACGACAGCCCCTACAAGAGGATGCAACTGAATGGCTGTAGGGGGTTGAGTATGCAGTGCATCCCTGTGTTGCCAAGTACGTGAAAGTTTGTAGATACAGCCCTGAGGGATGTGGGAAAACAAAAGGAAGCTGCTAGCCTGAAATTCCGTATGACTGCCAACCTCGCCCCCTACCCCCACGCAGCTTCCGGTCCCAGCGTCATGCCCCCCCCCCTCCTCTTTTCCGTACCAGTCCTTGATGTGGCGAACCGACAAAGTCGCGAATATCTGTAAAAGACGTACATTCTCGACAAAGCCTTTGGTTAAGCTTAATTAACATGAATAAATTCATTAAAGCCAAGCAGAAACTGTGAGCGGGAGTCAAACTTAACTTATCCCTCCCGTTTACAGTTGGATACTCTGTGCATGTGGTAAGCTTTTTCAACCCCTATTTGTATGCTCTTTTTGTCAGACCATTTTCCTTTCTCTCTATCCACATTGAGGTTGCTAAGCAATTGTCAAGTAATGGCCGCAACCCTCGTTGCCGTTCGGGTTGTACAGGTTACTTCGTTCTTTTTCGTTGTCGCCTGCAGAATATTGTGATCAGGGGTGAAATCACGTGGACAGTCGCACACGGTCGAAAACGGTGGATTCTTTTGGAATTTCGACCTGGACGATCGTGAAGTAGGGAGTTGAAAATTTTTTCGACCATTTTTTTTTGTTAAATTTATAATTACAAAGAAACTGCGCAAGTTCTCTTTCCCTTAACTTTTTCCTCATTAATCATCCCTCGAAATTTCCAATACTCATTTCGCTATGCCACGTGCTTTTTTTTCTTTCAGCTCGTCGATTATATTTAAAAAAAAAAAAAAGGAGTGCAACCCCACCAACGTAAAACCCATACCGATAAATAATTCGATTTTCAATTAGCCCCTGAGTTTCCGCTCTCATCGACAGCCATAACCAAGGCTTTCCCTTTAATATCACAGTATCCCACCCAGCCATCCCCAAGTGACAGGAACCGCAACTAACCCCGAGAGAACATCAGCAGGCAGCCAAGGCAGAGACGGATAAAAATGCCATCTTCCGTAATTGGTCTTGCAACCCTCGGAGGTCCCTATAGAAATAGCTACCCTCGGGAGTAGAAAGAAAAAAAAAAAAATTCCGATAGGAACATATAATAGCATTCCCGTACCGGGCCGTATCGTAGATACCGTCCTTAAATTCGGCAGGTCACGTGGCGACGCCCCCCCCCCTCTATTCTTGAATTTTTATTAATTCAAGAAAAATAAAAGCAACGACCCGATAAGATGTTAATCTCCACCTAGCACCTAACTCGCTCTTTATACCATATAATAGCTGAACGTTAAACAACGCCGTCGGTAACGTAGGACTCTTCGCTTACCATCTGCATACAATATATATACACAAACACGCACCTCTCTTTCGCAAACGTTATCTCTCTCAACAGGCAGAGCAGGAGCACTGCTACCAACCATACCGGGATAATCCATCGTTACAATAACGAGCGGCTCGAAAACGTAGGGTTGATAGGCAGCCAGATAGGAAGGAAGCACAGCGGGCAGACAGGACGGGTAAGGTCGCTGGTACATAAATAGGTGGGCACGTACGTTTAATACCAGTGGCGTAAACTGAGCGTGTTAATACCCGGTAATATTTCCACGATAATCAATAGCAGGTTATAATCATCGAACATCTCCTGTATTGGCCGACCAACCCGTGCGTTACACGCATCGTCAATACGAAAACCCATCATGAGGAGCCACGGCTGATTATGAGCCATATAGATCTACTAACCCACCTTGTGCCTATAATACGTATATATCTATACGTACCACACATTCCTTAGGGTTCACCATCTACCCTTATCCACGTACGTATATACGTATTAAGAGTTCATGGGCATCACCTTGTGTATTTACGTAATACATAAACCTAACACGTAAGGTTGGTACAGCAACCTCTCCCTGGCTCTTCGTCAACCCCCCCCTTCCGCCGTCACCGTCCTACGTCACCTCGCACCCCTGCACAGGGTATTAACGTGAATTACTGAAGGCCGGACTCTCACCGGGCACCCTCCGAGATCACTTAGGCTAATTGAAGAGCGCGCAAGCCACACTTTTATGAAATGAGCCGAGCGACTCCAGCCCGAACTTTGACAGTGTCCTAACCCTCGTCTACGCGTTAAACCCGCCGCATTGTGGATTATTCGCGAGGCGAATTGATACTCCATAGTTCCCTTAATATGTTTCTGTTTGGTCGCGATATGAACAATTTTTTTTCTTTATTTATTTTCTTTATCATAATTTCGTTCTTTATGGCTCCTGTTTCTCGTCCGATCCCGCATAAACACAACACGAGACAAATACGCGTTGGGCACGACGACGTCAGAGACGTACAAGATATATAGTACGACTTGGTCGTTGCACGGTTGTTATCGCAATTGGATCTCGTGTATACACACCTTCGTATTACGTCAGCACACACGCGAGCGTTTCATATTGCCAATTTATTTCTAGTGTATGTCGAAGACAATTGGCAAATCTAGTTTTCTGGGCAATACGTTGCTGCTGGTCACGTTTGAGTAAAGGACGGGGAGGGTTTTACTTGTCAGTTCTGGATGCCACGTAGACTCGATATTCGTGATATGGAAGTAAATCAATTTTGACGTTTATTTTTTTTTTCTTTTTTTTCAGAATTTTCGTTCTTTTTGGATTTGCATTTTTTTAACCAGATCTTACTTACCGATAAACAACGGTACGAATCCTGCATCGTATTACTCCTGGGGAAGTTTGCTCCGTGCTATCGGGCTATCCTGGGTGCGGAGAGTGGGTTAGTCCGAGGGCCTGAATAAAATATGGAGCCTGCAGTGCATCGCCGTTCTGCGACACCGACTCTGTCGCAGTATCGTTATGTCGTGGAAACGGCGGCGCTAAGCGGAAGCCGAGAGGGATCGTTGATAAAATAAAAAGGCACGTCGCTGCCGGTTGCCGGTTTTAATATTACGAGGTGGCCGGTATGTGAAGTTTTTTTTTGTATTTTTTTTTTTTTTTTTTTTTTTTTTTTTTTTTTTTTTTTTTTTGAAAAAGGACCACATTTTTTGATCCCATTCTCACTAACTTTCTATCTCGCTTCTTCCGGTTACCAGGAGTCGCCGCCATTTTTGAATTCCTCCTGTTACGCTTGCGGCCTCGGAGCACCCGGACCATTTTCACCAGCCATTGTTAACGCCTAATCTAATTTCCCTCGTGACGCCATCGAATAATTCAATCGAAAGCTCATTAACCGATTTACAATTAGGGACGATTATCCACTCCGCTGTTATGCGCCTGCTAGCACATTGCCTTTTATAAATGACTTACAGGGTGGTAAAGGGACAGGGGACACGGCTGTACCCAGCCAACTCTCACAGTAGAACTTCTTCGGTCTTCCACTCAACGCCATCCGCTTTTCGCGTGAATATAATTATTTCGGCACAGCTTCAAAATGGACTGGTCGATCCTCATAACGGAAGTCTGATAAAATTATTATCCCTGTTGAAGTTTTAAAGGGGATTTCTCGCGAACGTACTCTATCCTGGGGACTAATGTGATATTGGATTTTTTTTAACGCCGCCAATGCGATAGAGTCGTACCAGTTAAATGAAGCGGTGACAGGTAACGATAAGAGGGGAAAAAAATGACTGGCACTCGAAACGTTTCGATTTTTTTATCAACAACGAGACGGCGATGTCTCGTATCTTTTTTTCGATGTAATCAGGACACTTTTATTTTGGTACCCGGAATTTCGAAAAATTAATATCGTTTGAAAAATTTTGAAAATTCTTTTTTGTTAATAGTTCTATCAACTCGGAATAGGGTGCTCGGGGTAAACGCGAATCATTTAGTGATTCTTTAATATGGAGGATGAGTGATTCTGCCAATCCAGAAGATGAAATTCCGGGCAATTTGAATTCCGTGGATGCGTCAGCGCCTTTGGAAAAGGTTGTATCCGGTGCAGCGACTACGTCAAAAAGTTCAGCAGCCGTCGGTGGCAGCAATCCAACAAAAATCGAGTCGGTTACGACTTCGGAAAGTTTGAAAACTTCGCCGAAAACTTATATCAAGGCTAGCGGAATTTCTGAAGTAAACGATTGCGACCCGGGATGTGAAAATCGTCACGAAATCGACATTACTTTGATCGTACGGTTCAAAACCTCTTGATTTAGTTATTCCGTAAAAATTACCCCCCCCCCCCCAAAAAAAAAAAAAACAATATTTTTCC